GCACATAAAAGTATCTTTGAAAATCTGATACTAGTAAATAAATGCTGTTTTGAAGTCTTTGACATCACTTATGAATAAATTATCATTTGTTGAATGGAGTATACAATATGACGTATGTTGCATCATATTATATAACAAAATATCAAACCAAAACATATATATATATATATATATATATATATCAATATTATCACGCACATAAAGATATGATTGATCATTTCTTATTCAGAATTCATTTATTTTTATTTATTTGGAAAAAGTTATTGTGATAATTTATGTTTTTTTTATAAATTAGCAAAATTTATAATATTCAGTTTTTTTTTAATTCAACTCATGACTATATACATGGAATATCATCATAAAAACATATCAAATTTTGTACGGTAAACTTTCATATATTTTTATCATATGAAAAAATATTTTTAATTTAATAATATTATAATAATCATTATATAAAATATTTTTTATAAATATATTATTTTTTTAAAGCTTTAATAACCAACAATTACTAAAATTTTAATTCTAAGGAATATTCGTTTGATAATTGATATTAATTTTAGCCAATAATTTATTTTGCCTTAAAATTTCAGTAAGTTCTTAAAAATCTATGACATGACAATAAAGAATTGATTAACATTTTTAAAAATAATAATTTTCCATGATTTTTTAATATATTATAAATAAAATATTTGTTTCTTGGCAAAATGTATCGAAGCAGTAGTTTTGAGTTTAAAAAGTTATTAACAAGATTTTTTTATTATGATACAATTAATACCAACTATGCTGAATAACATGCATAATATTATTTTGAAGTATTCAGAAAAAAAAATCAACAAAATAATTCTTGTTGGAATTCAATATATGTTATTTTTTAAATTCTTATTTTTTTGGGTATCAATCTAAATTTCAAATTCAACTCTAGTCAACCAAAGTCAGATTAGAGTCAGGTATACATCTAGTTTTGTTTGGTACCTTGTACAAATAGAAAAACGAGTCATAGTTCACATTGACTATTTTGTACAATTTTTAATATAGGTCATGTTGTTCTTATGAACATAGCCCAAGAAAATTTTTTTTAATCGGCATTATTATATATTCTTGTGTTATTCTGTTGCAATTATTGAAAATTTTAATAATTATAATTATAAACTGTTGATATTTTATAATCTTCATTTTTTAGGTCCAAATGCACTAATACCAAAAATTTGCAAGAAAAAATAAATGATTACCACAAATGAATCTTTGATGCAAATATTTTTTTAATTATGAAATATTTGTGTATGATGAATTGATCACTGAAAAAAATTTACAATTAATTTAATTTAATTTAATTTAATTATTAATATGAGATTGAGCGAAATATACATAAATTGATTATATATAGTTTGTATCAATTTAATATTATAATACACATAATCATAATGATGTGTATGTTTATATAATGCAAATATATGTAAATAAATTTATGATAATATTATTAAATTTGGCAATATATTGAAAAAACTAATCGATACATTCAAATTTGATGTCATTGTCATGTTTGAGCTATGAGGAGAGATTCATAGTGATGTATTTGTATATATCTACAAAAAAATTTCCATTTATCAATTTCATACGTAAATATATTATTTTCTTCCTAGATTGATATAAAGCTAGTCAATTAACTTCATTTATATGATTTTTTTAATTGATAAAGTGCATGTTGTAAAATATTTTGTGTATATGTTTTTTGCATTAAAATTTAGATTTTATGATCATCATGAGAATGATTGCTATCATGTATGTAACATTCAAATACATCAATACATAGTAAAAATGCATGATTTCATATATTTTTATTATCTATTATACATTCTTTTCATGCATACAAAGTTTATGATGAAAATAATAACATTAGATGAATAATTAAATTTTTGTGACTACAACTAAGATAGTCTTTCCCCCCTATACTCAAGTCTGACGAACGATAGATGACATGATGATACTCATGATATTTGTCACAAGATTGATATCTATTTTGATTATTGTTATGTTTTAGTTCCAAAAGTGTGATATACCTTTTCAAAATTAGTAATTGACTATCACATCTATCATAATTGAAAATTATTATCGATTTAAATAAATTATTCTATGAATTCATGACATGAAATAATAAAAATAGCTATTTCTTATTATTTCTTATTATGTCTTATTACATTAATATTATTTGATACAATATATAATAATAATATCAATTGTTGATACAAGGAAGTGTATATCTTAGAGTTAAAAAATGAACATCTAATATTTAAAATTAAAATTTTAATTAAATATATAAAGTGTTGAAATCTTTCATTAATTTTTCCATGAACCATATAAATGATACTTTTGACATGCATTTTTTACAGAAAAACCGATACAAAGAAAGTTAAATTTATGGAAATGTTTAGCTGAACAATGATGAATAGTATTTATCGTAGATTATATTTATGAGTCATTATAAATATAAATAAATTTTATATTAATTTCTTAAATGTTATAAAAAACATTTCAATGACTAAATACTAAATATAGTTATGACACATTTAGCTTAATGTTTCAAAAAAATAACTTGAAGTTTGATCTTGTATCAGATATATTGTGATGTGATATGCGTATGCACATTTGTATTTAATATGAGATTTCTAGATTGAGTAGTTCGTTATTTTACTATGAACATATTATTGTGTGTGTCCAATCCTCAATACACATTTTTTTAGAGACATATTTTACTTTTGATGAAAAATTTAATTTAGTGGCTATACATTGTTAGTGTGCAAGAAATTTAAGATTGTAGTCAATAAAAAATCCGACTTATAAGTCTTTATTTGAATGTAGATTCACATGTTCCCAATAAGAATTTGAAAGTTATTTTTTTTGTGCTCATCTATTAAAGTTAGTCTGGTTTGCTCAAAATCATGCACTACACTTTTCTCAATCCATACTACTACAGTTTCACAATCATACATGAATTTTTTTAATTATTAATAAATCTCAGCATTGCATATAAACAAATACTAAAATTTTAACTAATTTGATTTGCTTTTCATGAGATGATAGTTTGGTATATATGTACATTGGAATGTTGATACTCTGAGGAATTTGTACTAAAATCTTGTGTGTCATATATGTACATCTATATAAAATCAGTGTAAATTTGAAACGGTGATATTAAACTTTTGTGTATGGTCCAAATTTTAATTTTAATTTTTTTTGAGTGCAATTAGTTTATAATTGCACTCAAACAAATATAAAATATAAAATATGATATAAATTTAATTCATTTTACAAGGGATGTATATATATATATATATATATATATATGAACAATCTAAATTAAAAAATATACAATTTCCCAGATTTTTTGAATATTTTATTTTCAATAGATAGCATGTCTTTGATGATATTACTTATGCATACATATTTCAAAAATATTTTTAATTATTTTATTTAACCTATATATATATATGAATTACTGTCACAAACATCTTGAAAAGTATAATTTGACTTTTTTGGTTTGATGTAAGGAAAACAAAAACTTAAAGCTTACGCCTGAAGGAAAATGTAATGGAGGAGATCCAATATCATGACATGGTATGAAAGACAAATAGTTTTCCATTCTCTTCATATGCAAAAAGAAACTATTGAAATATATATTGGTCATATGTATGAGAGTAGATATCATGTAAATATTGCTTCACTTCACCTTTCTTATGTTGATTTGATTAGTTTTTAGTTATTGATAATCTTTAGTTAAAAAATGGTAGATAATTTACAGCTATATACCAACGGAATGGCAATTGCTGCTAAAATTAGAAAATCAACTGTAAGGTTTTTAATAATTTCCAACTCGATTTTAAGTGCTTGGTGAGTCTAATGGATGCCTTGGTTGCTAAATATTCCCTTTTCCATCGTGCCATGGTAATGGACTAAAATGACTCAAAGATATGTAAAGAATATATAATGTTGCTGACAAAGGGGCACCAGTTGGTTCATATGAGGAAACATGAAGTGGTAAGGTTTACACAGACTTGTACCGTCTAGAGCCACCAATATTCTTGTACCGAAATCATGAAGACGAACTGATAGTGCGCTGCAACCTACTGACATTTCCTGAATGATATTGGGATACGAGCTCCAATACCTTTACTTGCAACCCGGGTAGCCATAGAACACAACCGGCTACTTCAATCAACATGTCCGAATGTGTAAAGACGCCTACTGTGAATCTGAGTGTGACGTATCATGTGAGCATTGTTCTCTTTTCGGCGTATTACAGTTCACGTCGGCGGCTTCGATTACATCTTTCGCAGGCTCTCACGTGTAATCCTAAACTACGAGTATTAATGGGTGATTGCATGTTATTGTTTCAGCTAGAATAGAAGCATACTGCTGTTGTTCCTACTTTACTACATATATGGACCAGTGAAGTAAAGATGTTAGACATAAATTTCTATGTGGACTGATAAGCCCTTTGTTCAAATTCCGTGAGAATTTTATTCAGGAAAAATAATTAGTCCGCAGGTCATTCATGTTGTATTTTTGGTTGGTTCTCTAGCCTGATAAATTTTTGTTTTCGGATCTGTATTCTTTATATATATTATATTGGATATCACTAACAAGTCTATATAAATCAGCAAGGGACGATAAACTTCATGTAGAAACGATCTTCAAAAGGTTTGAGGTTCTTGTCTACCATGGCGATAATATGGTTTAGCAGTTGTGGTTTAAAAACAGGATTTTTACAGTAGGTAATGATTAGTATAATCACTTCTTTACTCGAAGGGAATCAGGATGCAGGTTCCTTGGGATGGGGGCCTTCCTCTTCACATGGACTTCGGCTTTGATAATGAAATTTGAACTCGAGGATGGGCAAACGGAAGGTTTAATTGAAATTATGTTCAGTATAGGGCGTACGAGGTGTGCGAAAGCAACCAATAAATAAACCATTAACTTATAAGACGGCTTAATGAAGTCACCGGGAGGATTTCATTTAGTGTAAGAGAAGTGTGTAGGAGAGATGATTGTGGTGAAGAATGGGGACTAGTCCCAAAGTTTCTAATTGTCAGGACGAGCTATGAAGATCACTTTTCACTCATCCACATCAAGTTGGTATGAAACCCTTTCTTCCATAATAAAGCTGTTCTCAGAGGACATACACTACGGAGATCTAGAGCATCGGATCTTTTGACAAACCTCCAATGCATGAAGGCTGACTGACTCGCAGACTGAATTCACTGACTAATCAGTAAATAGAAAACTGTACACAAAGCTGGGTTTAAGGAACTAGGAGAGTCACATGATTGGCCATGGTTGACTTTTACATCGTTTGAGAAATACCATTAGTTTATATCAGAGTATAGTTCTTCTGAATCCAGCATGAAAACACCATGTTGACGTGGTTTGTTTTGGAGAAAAGTAAAACTTTTTACTAGGAGACGCGAGGAGATGAGGAGAGAAGCGAAGGGAAGCTTATATGCTCGTACCGTAGGACATACGGTGCTGGCACATATAGTAGCTGACATGAAGGGCGAAGATGGGGTCTAGACGAAGAATTGTTGAAAGGGCATGGTCCAGGTGGCAATCATACAAGCGAATGCCCGAACAATTAAGGACAGCAAAGCATGATAAGCATGATGGAAGCAGAAACTAGAAATTACTGGCCGCTGTAATTACACTTCTACAAATCAGCAGCTGCTGTGGATCTGAAGAGGTTAAGGAGCTGGAGGAGGAGCCAATTATATGGTAATGGAGGGACGGATGTTGGGATCCATCCCAAATTCAATCATCCGTGCATTTATGATAAGAGTCACCTTGGGCAGACCAAGAGATTTTGGATTTGTAGCCTTGAAGAAGGAAGAAGAAGAATCGACCCCATCATGATGATAAATATCCCCAAGTGTGTTTTGAGAAATCCTCTCGAAGATGCCTACAGTAAGAATGATGTGGGAGTCAAGATAATCTCCTTGACTTAAGGACCAAGGACATTGCTTACTTCTTCCTTCTCCCTCCATGGAAGCAAAATCTTGGAAATCTCAACAGGAAATTGGAACCCTTCCCGATGTGGCCTACTTAAGCAGAAGCTATATAATGCACTGGGTTGTCATTAACTTCACTTGTGTAACGTCTACCTGGACGTACAACCTCCCTTACCTCTGGCCGTCCCGTCAGGTCGACCTACAACGTTTAGCAAGCACAATATGTGACCTCCAAAGGCACTCCCTTGAAAGTTCTAGCAAGGACGAGATGCAAGCGATCCTGTCTCATCTTTCATTTTATCGCGTGCGGTAGTGAAGAAGAAGATATTCCATCCGCACTTTGTTATTACAGGCCGTATGGACTGTGTTGAGCCTTGGAGGGCAAGGGAAGTTTGTCCATGTAGGCACTTCTATAATCTTTGCATTATAGAAGTGCACACTTCTGACTGAAAGCGGTTTTAAAATGAGTGGGATTGATAGTGGATGACGAAGGCATGTGTTTTCTTGACCCGTTGAGATCTTTCTCACCATACTCAGTGGATGTGAAATTGGGTAAAAGTTGGAACTGTTTGGGTCAGGAAATCACAGTTCTTAATGTTGAATAGAGCTTGTTTTTTTAATTTAACAAATCATGCATAGATGATAAGAAGTTATCGAGAATATCAAGGTGTGGGAAAAGTGTATCGGGTTTCGCGCCAACTGATAACAGCTTGTTTCATCTGTTATTTATAGTCAAAGAGGTGCCGAAAAGCTATAGGTGTTGCAACTGCAGAAGGATGGGCCGGATTCTAGCAACCACATACCAAAATTGGTAGCGTGAGTTTGCAAAAGCCCTAGAAGTAATTATCAAAAGTAACTTTGGGTAGATGGAAGCGGAAGGCCAGAAGAACATACCAAGTGCGCATTGAGAGGGAGACAAGAAGGTTCGGAGTAAAGGGCACAGTTATCGGCGGAAAAGGTATATTGGGTCTGGCGATGAAGCAAAATTTCAGGAAGAAAAGACATCATACGCAGAGAACGGCTCACGGGGTAGGACAAGTAGTCACTCAAGAGATTGGAAGGGGGGGAGGGAGTGAGAGAGAGAGAGAGATTGACGATCAGATCCTTCGCTCGGAGTACAGCGTGACTACTTTATGCCGAGGAAGAAAAATCATGTTGCCGAAATTTGGCGGAAAGGAAAGCGAGAGAGGAGAGACACCTACAGAGAAGGGAAGTAATGGCGGTGCGAGTCACATGCAATATCAGATGACGACAGCGGGGAGAGGAAGTGAGGTGATGACTAATGATGAGTAGGCTTTGGGCTCGGCAAAACTTCTGGTATGGTGAAGAAGATGGAGGAAATGGTTTTCATGAACTGGCTGCTGTCGGAGGGATTTTAGGAGAGCTTGCGATGGCAAAGCATGTTTTGGAGCTGGTCCTACGACGTAGCATGCACCGTTGCTGCAAACTTGGCAGCATGCGGCAGGTTTGAGGTATTGCATTAATTGCAAGTACGATGTCCGAAACAGTCGGTGCTGTCTTTCACGCTCCGCCAACCCATGCTGAAAAGAGTGGTTGCGACAGAAGATAATCGAGTTCAGAGCCCAATCTGAGACTATGGCACGACAGTAGCGGACGAGCCTCTTCACACCAGAGTCCAGAGAAACTGGCCGAATCAGGCATGAATAAGTATGCAATGAGGGGAAACCAAGCAAGCATGGTCTGACTGTAATGTGTGTCTTGACGCAGTTCAGGCAGATGCAAGAGCGTCAGGTCGCAGGTCACAGGTGGTAGGACGAGGAGGAGCCTCTAGAACCAAGACCAAATGCTTTGGAGAACCTCTTCATCTCCCAGGAGGACAGACAGACGGGAGAATGGAATCTGCCGTCTGCTCTCAGGACCAAGTCTAGTCTACGAGTCGCGGCCGCGCTCGCCTTGCAAGCCTATAATGGCTCTACAAGGAGTTCCAGAAGTGGATTGTACCGCTCATCGCTAACCGCAGCGAGCATTCCATCTCCGTCAGGCAAAGTCCGCGCTCTGCCATTACGCGGAATTCTCTGTCATGTGACTCACTTTTAGGTCTCTGTCACCAACGCGCAATTCTCTGTCAAGTGATTTCTGAATCTGCATCCAGTGCTGCCTGCCTGCCTGCCTGCGTGCCTCCTTCACATTCTTCAAATGGCTTGCTGCCCCGCCCATCTCCAGTCTCTCTCTCTCTCTCTCTCTCTCTCCCTCTCTCTCGTTTGTGTGGAAGCGTGCCATATATAAAGTGCTGTCTTTCTCACGTGGAGTCCACTCAGAATTCAGGCGTGTACCATCAGCGACCCTGTCGCTCGTCCTCTCAAATGGATTCGTCCCGTTTTAATGTACCCGCGGCATTGGCAGACCCTCTCCGATCCCCACACATGTGACCGCAAATAGAACCTTGCTCCCAGGCACTCAACCTCTCCTCGCATCGCATACTTAAGATTATGCACCACAATTCCCATCATATCCTGGTCAGGCCGGATGAAATCGTACTTTCCTCCCATGCCATGCCATCTCGCCCTTCGACCCGAAACCGTGTACTCCAGTCTGCTCATCATCCGCCTTCGCTGAAATCAATCTCTGCACCCTCTCGCCAGAATCTCCTCTTCAATCGGAACCTGATCTATTTCAGCCGGCGCATTTACTTCGCTCCCTCAGAGGCTCCTTCCTTCTCGCGTTCCCGTTTCCAACTCTCAGGCTCTCCAACGTACCCCCATGATACCATACCACTCACTACCCTCTCGGCGCTCTGCTCGGCAAGCTTTGCTGGTACCGTTACTACCGTTGGGTTGCATGGCCCTCCGAATCTACGATGCGTCATCCATCTTGCCCCCAAGCGTGGCATCTTCACTTCCCCTTCGCTTTTCTCGGCATTGGTTTTTCGTAGCTCAACCGTACTCTGCCTCCCCATTCATCCGATCCTGCCCAGAGGATGCTGCCACCTCCAAAGACTCCACCACCACATCCTCCAGGTTCCACATAGTCCAGCCTCTAGGTGCCGCAGGTGGGCTGGGTTAAGGGGCTCAAAGTCGGCCATGGAAAGGTTGCGGATGACGTCCAGAGATCGCTCCAGATTGCCAGAAATCGAGGGTGCAAAGACGGGCACCAAAGCCGAGCCGCGACTTGTCATACCGAGCCAGAGTCGACCGCATTAGCATTAATTACGTGAGGGCCATATACATTTCCATGTTTGAATCGGGGAAGGAATCGTGAAGACCGTATTTATGAACAGCTGAGCAGCATCACTCAAAGCCCTGAGGAGATAAACCCTGGGGACACACTCTCTGAGGCAGCTGGAGGGAAGGGACGGGGCGGCCTTTTCAACTTCTACGAGAGCATCACATTTATTTGCGTAATCATGGAGAACAAACTCCCCAAAACCGTATGTTTATTTGTATGTAAGACCCACAACTTCTTGTTGCACGTCCATAATTGCGTATTCTTCTTCCCCATACACCTTCTATGCACCATCTTCCCTTCAATGTAAATCAATTCAGTGCATGCGTATTTAGGATAGTATTCTCTATCTTCAATGCTAATGTTACCATAAGAAACCATCTTCGAAGACTTTTTGCAGTAATTGCCAGCTTTTACTACTCTAATGAGTAATTATAAACCTTCTTGTTTCCCTTGGTCCAACCTTCCCTTCCCTTCCGCTAAATTATATCCCATCGAAAACGATGTAGATGCGATGCTACAGTGCTGCGTACAGACAAATCGAATATCTGAGTTATACGTCTGAGTCCTACGACGTTAATGCTGTATTACCTTCCTGAGTCGATTCACTACGACGTTTAATATTCATAACTTATGAATTGCTTTGCTGTGATTACTGATTGCACTCTCTTCATTATCGTACTTTTTACTGCACTTGGGTCATTTAATCCAGGACTTGCATCCATTCTTTAATTCATTTATACACGATCGTGAAGGTGAGATTCCTCGTACTGGTTTCAGGATATGTCCCGCTAAAAAAGAGGAAAGATAAAAGGCAGATTCCCTACGCTGGGGAAAGCATAAAACGTATCTTTGTTCCCTCCCCCCACCCCGCCCGCCCGCCCACCTTTCTAACAATCATGCATCGCTTCGGCCTCAATCCTTAGAGAGGATTTTGCATATTCCATCTGAATATGGCGAACTCTATTCCCAAGTTTGAGCAGGAAGCATTCAACGAGCCCGTGGAATATTTTTTTTCCAGAGCTTTTGAGAAAGGCTATGTGATAGAGATAATTAAGATCAGTTCTTTTACCCTCGGAAACGTTGCCGACGGGAGGATTAACGAGTTTTCTCTTAAACAGCACGGATTTGGTCAACAATTTGTTCCATCACAAAACCTCGGCCCCTAAACTAAGTTTTCCAACAGCCGCTCACCACATCGATTCATGCAATTTACTATGAGTATAGAGTTCAAAGAGTTCATTAACCTCCGCAATTATTTGATATGTTTGATATGAGATGGTTGTTTGGCGCCCTTGTCCTAAGATAGCATGCGCACTTACAGTTTGTCTGCACACAAGACTGGAGCAGCGCTTGGAAGGACATCTTCTTATCTTCAGAATAAATAGCTGTCTCGCTTCTCTTTCGGTCTGGGACTTTGTTGGAAGTCTTTGCATTGGTCTTTAGTCAATCGGTTTCACCATCGCGCACTGATTACATGGGTCGTCGCTTGTCTCTATGTCTGCTATGTATGTTGTTCAATCCTACGGCGATGCAGACCGTAAGCTAAGACGCCAACATCACTATATGTATATGTATATGTATGGTGTAGATGGTGTCCTTGTGTCAGAGTGAAGATGAATAAAAAAATAGCTCTTGCCACGATCCAATCTTGCACAAAGGATTGAACATCTAGATCTGTTATCTGCGTCTTCAGACAAGGAAGTTGAGCTGTTGAAGTATCTTATGATCTTGCTTAATGATTCAATGATACGTCACATTCATATAGGTATTGCCACATTCAGAAGACAAAGGAAAATTGATGAACAAAAGAACATTTGTTATATGATGCATTACCCCAATACGTGTGTGGCTACCTACGTATATATTATTTTATTTGGCTTTTCCTTCGTGCAACGACGGCGGTGACACTTCAGAAGTTTACTGCGTTGAGTCGAACGGTTCTCCGTTCGGCTCAACGGTCCTCACCTCCTTACACTCCGTACTGATCCTCGGATGGCAATAAAAAATACTCTCTCTTAATAGAAGAAAACCCCGATAAAATACTGGACTTCTCTGGGAAGGGAAGAGTAGGGAAGAGTTATCCAATTTTGGACCCCTTGCTGGTGTAGAAACAAACTTCAGTACTACACATAGGTTTTCCAAAGGGGAACATGTTCATACTAACCTGTGAGGGTGATCAGAGAGGAAAGGTTCGTTCTCTGCCTTCAACTTCTTCTTCCACTTCCGTTGTTTCTATGGTGAGATGTCCTAAATTCAAAACTCCCCGTGCCGCGTCTCTCTCCTCCTTGCCTTCATTTTCTCTTTGCAGGAAGTAGTCCCGCCTTCCCTCACACTAGTCTCATCGCTTCAGCCGTCCACCCTATGAATTCTTAATGTCAGCAAGAATATTCATTCTTAACACCAATAAAGTACTTCAAGTGGCCAAGTGGATATATATATATATATATATAAAGACTTCAATACTCTATCGAATTAACTATTTATTGAAAGATGATAGCATTAGATCAAGTTTGATATGAAAACTCACGGAATTTTATTTGATAAATTGTATAACAATACACTCTTCTCTTGATTTTATCGTTGAGAACATGGAGAACTTTATTTTCGTCGTTATACTCATCGCCCATCCCATTTGATAGATAATCACCGTTAAATATAAAAATGAAAGATTTTAGTTTCTAAAATTTTCAAAAGTAATGATTTTTTCTCTAAACTGAGCATTTTAAAAAAAACTATAAGTCTAGATTCGTTATGTATCAAATATCATAATTTATTTACACATGCTAAACAGATATCCAACTTTCCAAAGGTTTCTTGTCATTTTATCATAATCTGATCACAGTCATGTGAATTTTGCATCTTCAAACATCTTAATTACAAGTAGATACGAAGTTTATTTTCAGAATTTTTACGACGTAAAATTATTGTTGAGCTCACAAAGGACATCAAAAATATAAATTTTTCCAACTGGTAACTTTTTTACCAAAAATATAATTATTTAGCGTCTGGGATGTATGAAGAATTTAAACAAGGTTTTTGATTTCCTCTTGCAATTAGAGGACACATTCTCACTTCAAAATTAAAAATATGATCACAAAATTCAGTGAAATGATTAATTTTTTTACTGTTTCATATGTCTCTGACCTCAAATTTTCTTTACATAACTCTATACATCATTCATTGCAATTATATCAAATGAGAAGCTAAACTTCATTTCCAAATTTATTTCAAATCAGAATTGAAAAAAATTGGACTCAGCCTAATGTAACATAGAACATACGGTTCAATAGATTTTACTAGAATGTTCATTCTTTTTTCACTACTCCATGTAAAAATAACCACGTATCATGAGAGAAACATTTTGTGTGAATCTAATCTACTACCTTATATCTATTTTGGAAGATTTAATTTGTATTTAGAGACTTTCATTCAAGCATCTAGTTTAACATGTTTTTTATTCTTGCATTTGATTAAATTTTCTCATTCAATTATTATAATTCAGTTTATTAAGCGTAGTTATAAGTATGTAGAACATAAGATGTTAATAGTTAAATGGATAAAACTAAGCATGATGAAATTTATATCATTACATATAAGTCACATAAAAATAAAAAAAAATGAGAAAATTTCATCAGGCCAAACATCATGATGGTTATATGTATCACAAGACCTCGATCAGAAATTTATTATGAAATTTATATAATGAAACAGTCTACAAATTATACATTTTTTTGTATGCCGCATCAAGTAGCATGATTGACTCCTATGTATGAAGCTAGCATATACAATTTGTAGAAAAAAAAAAGCTTTGTGAAATAGATTACAAAATAAGCTAGTAAAAGTATACATAATGTATGTAAACAAAATCTGCATCCATAGCTCCATGTAGTTTTAGACTCATAAAGTATAGCACTTTAATACCATACCATATAGTTGAAAATCTTGACACCTCTTGCACTACTTAGATATTTACGAAAACTTTGTAAATTTGATGAAACAGATTCCATTACTTGTAAAGAATTTGGAAACATAAATCTATTTTGAATATTTAAAATCTTCACAGAAGTCATTTATAAAAATATTTTTTTAATAATTAAATTAATTTTAAATTCTATAATAATTTTAAATACAATTTTTTTTATAAATTTCAGTTCTTGAACGATATTTTGTGAAATAATGATAATAATTAAATTAATTAAATTATGAAAATAAAATTTAATTAAAAAAATAAGGTTACTAAAATTAGATAAAACAAATTTAACATTAGTGATGTAAATTTTCTAAATAAAGTCAACTAAGAAAGTTAAAAAATAATATATTTTCATATATTTTTGATAAATCAATGTTGATGTGATTTTCTTATACTGCTCAATGTTTCATCTTGTTTAGATGTAAAAAATCTACAAAATTCTATTGTATATATATGAGAATCGTTATTCAAGTAATGAAGAACCATACAAAGATAGACCAGAGTATTGCATGCATGAATTAATTCAATATATGATGCACGTCTATGCAATTCATGCGCAAGAATATATTTCTAAATGTGCATGATTGTACTGAATACTGGATTCGCTAAATAGTAAAAAAAATAAAAAAAAATAAAAATAATAGCGATATGATTTCACTTGACTTTACATTTCTATAATTACCACACAAAAAAAAAACGCTCAATATATATGCCATAAAAATAGTGTAACATTTAGTTTTCTACAACTGAGTTAGATAGTCCGATGAGCAACTTTGATATGAACTATATCTCCGCATTCCTTAAATGAAAACTTTCCGCTATGATCCATATGAAATATTTACAGCTTGCCAAATTTATATATATCTAGAAAATTAAATATATCTATAATTTTTTGTTGCCGCGAGAAAAATGACATCTATCATTCGAAGAATGTTCCAACATGAATCAGTGTTGTCTTACGGTTGTATCATATGTATCCATATCCTATCAGGACGCAAATGGATCTCTATACCACAGAACACGGAAACTGTTTCAATTTGTGAAAAGCGTAGGAGACAATCACACGGTCTACTTCGAACCGGGCATATGAGTATCAAACAAAAGAATATTGCTTGGTGCGATTCGAAGAATGAACCAATCTAGAAGGGAGAAGTCGTGATCCCTCACAAATGAATTGAACAAAATGTTTTCAAAAGTTTAAGTAGAATAAAAGGAAGCTCAGAGAGAGCAGCCCCTTCACCTGATACATTACACTTTTAAATCTACTGCAAAAGATAGACTGCTATTACGAGCTGATCCTTCTCTATCCTTTTTTCTTGTGACCCTTCAAGTCTGGGTTGACATTTCATCTAAGACGTCAAAGAGAAGCACATCAAGCGACTTTCATTTCCATTATAACCAAAGTAACGAAGCCATGTAAGCTAAGGAATACTTCTCATTGACATTCAACTATGCAAACCTGGAGTTTTGGGAGTTGATATTTCTTAACTATTTATTGATTCTATGAACCTTGGATAAGGGGCTAGAGTTTCATTCTCGCTCCGCATGC